GTATACAGTAATACAACATAACAGTTTTATAAAGATATGCAGTAATTTTTGAGTGATACAAATTTACACTGATACATTTATTACAGTGTTGCAGTTGATTTGTGCTACAACGAATTGATAGTGGTGCAGTTAATTTACAGTAATACAATTGATTTACAGTGATGCAGTTGATTTACAGTGATACAGTTGATTTACAGTGATGAAGTTATTAAGATTGATACAGTTATTAACAGTGATACAGTTATTAACATCAAAACAGTTGATTTGCAGTGATATAGTTGATTCACATTGCTACAGTTGACTTAGGACGAGACACTTCTACAGTGGTAATTTTACTTTGATGTACCTGATAGTCGTACAGTTTTAAGGGTGGTACAATTTTTACAATATTTTGATCAGAATGATGCAATGTAAATAATTTTTTTTACGCAGGTGGATTTGATGTGGTCAAATTAGCGTGCATTTTACATTAATATAATTCTGTAGTAAGGCGATTTTGAAGTGAGATGTTCTACAGTGATGTTTTACGGTGACGCATTTTGAGTGGCGTTGATTTACAGTGATGCATTTTGACAGTGGCGTGGATTTGCAGTGATGCATTTGTGTAGTGCTACAAATCAACAGTGGGGTTAGTTGAAGCGATACATTTGTATATCATTGTCACTGTTTTCCAGTCATACCCTATTGCACTGATGTAATTCTACCTACAGGGTTATATTTTTACAGTGTGGCCGGTTCTCAGCTGTACAATGGTGCAGTTGTACAGTGAGTCAGATTTTATAGTGATGCAGTTTTGCGTTTACATATTTCTAGATACAATTCGATTTGGTTATATTATTTCATTTATTGTCTATTTCGTTTTATTGTATAGTAAACGGGGTAATGAATGCAATTTGCTACCGGTACTATGACTATTAAGTACTGTACAAAGTCTTAGGGAAAATCAGCCTTGGTACAAATGAGAGCATTAATTATACGGTGCCCAGAGTACACGTCATGTACCAAGCTGAAGAAATGTTTTATCGGATCATATGAAGATCTTCCCCCCCAAAGTATCCAACTGAAGATCCTCCCCCCCCAAGTAGGTTTGGGGGGGAGGTTAGGTTAGGTTTGGTTAGGTTAGGTTAGGTTAGGTTAGGTTAGGTTAGGTTAGGTTAGGTTAGGTTAGGTTAGGTTAGGTTGGGTTAGGTTAGGTTAGGTTAGGTTTGGTTAGGTTAGGTTTGGTTAGGTTAGGTTAGGTTTGGTTTGGTTTTAGGTTAGGTTAGGTTAGGTTAGGTTCGGTTAGGTTTGGTTAGGTTAGGTTAGGTTTGGTTAGGTTAGGTTAGGTTAGGTTAGGGGGGGGTGGATCTTCAGATGAGCGCGACTGGGCTTGATCATATGAAGATCCTCCCCCCCAGGCTAGATCATATGAAGATCCTCCCCCCCAAGTAGGTTTGGGGGAGAGGATCTTCATATGATCCGTTTTATCTTGTTATTATTGCGGATTTTTTGAGAAACGATAATTTTACAACATTTCTGTGGAATGTTGTAAAGCGAGAATTTTATTTTTTCACGCGAGAAGAGGTGATGAAGTTAGGTAATGATGATTTGGTAAATACCCAGGACATTCTTCTGAGAGAAAGAGAGAGAGGGAGAACATAGTGACAGCCTGACAGGAGGGGTACAGCTAAATGTTCTTAAATAAGAATTAAATAAGAATAATAATAACGTAGAGTGCAGTCAATTTATTTCCCTTTGTTCACTGGCCAACGAAAAGTTTTCACAAAAGCTTCAGTAGTGCGTGTGTACAGTACATTAATGGTGACCGCGGGGAGGCGAGTGGTTTACAGTATATAAGACGTAGGGGCCCTTGCTGACATGTTAAAGTAGACAGGAAATGATGGTGGAGGCTAGCGGAAGGAATGTATTGTTCCTTGATAAATGCCACTTCTGGGATGGTTAGTGGGACCTTAACTGATCGTCCTATCGTGTTCTGTAAAGTTTCATTATCTTTTTCTCTTTTGGGGGGATGATCGTTCGTTCCTTTTTTACATATGCAGTCTCATGTTTCATCACATTAGTGGGTCTTGGTCTTGTTTATCAACATCACGGGTGCCTAGCGTTTAACAATAACACTGAAGGAGTCGAATATAATGTATAATTAATTAAAAAGTATATTTCACGATATGATATTTAAGTTAGCCTGCATCCTCCCAGGACACCCTTGATGTGCCAACACAACAGCAATAACAACAACAGCAGCAGCAGCAAAATATCATAACCGAAGTACCGAACGTTGTCGAGAAACACGCAGAAAAACTCAGCGCCGCTGTGTGCTAGTTTGTGTCCGTGAGGGGATAATTGGAAATAACTAACGTTTGAATATTAAAAACGTGACCGTAAAATGATTAAACGAATAATCCAGTGTACACCCACTAAAAAATTATTTGGCACCCGTGTCATATTGTATCACGCCGTAAGGGTGCCGAATAATTTTTTATTGGGTGTACTGTACATAAGTACCGAGACTAGTGTTGGCTTTCATGGTGTGAGTCAGGATTACTGTACACCCAATAAAAAATTATTCGGCACCCTTACGGCGTGATACAATATGACACGGGTGCCAAATAATTTTTTATTGGGTGTACCTCAGAAACTTGTGAGCCAGTGCGAAAATTGCTCGTAACTAAGTAGGTGAATCGTGGGTGTAGGGGAACATCCTCAAAACCGACTATTACTGTGAGGAGAAAGCTTTCTTCCTACTAGCCCGACACAGCGAGAAGCAGCACCACGCAACCCTCGGCTGTATGAGCAAATAACTTTGAGATTATTACAGTGTTTGGCGGTTACCACCTCACAGCAATGTCCAGCCTAGAAGTCTCAAATGTCTCACGAAGAAAACTCCCTTTCTGCGTCTACACTCTTGTTCGAAAATGTACCACTCAAATGAAATATTATACCATTATCTATGGGTAGATAAGCAGTTGAGGGAATGGTTCAACCGTTAAAAATATCAGGCGTTTGGGCGAACATTTGCTCGCAACTGCGTGTTACACATTTACAATGTACCAACCTTCAGTACTCGTCTTTGTCTCCCTGTGAGTGATCTTTGTGAGAGATGGTTATAAGACAGGATGTGGCCACGCCAACCAACTCTTCACATTCATATAAGGTTTATGTTGTGGTAATAATGGCTAGCGTATTAGCGAGTGCTGGCAGCCATTTAATAAAAATTTAGATTTTCGCCCAATAAAATGTAGACAATAAGTAAATGATATAAACTTGTTTGAGAAGGTACTAAATAGGGTTTAGCTGAGCACTTTATATAAACTAAGGTCGTACAGAATTAAGAATTAGATATTTTATTGAAGTTACATAAAAAGACATTTCAAGTGAAATAATATCTATTAATTTTTTTTAAGGTGGGGGGGGGGGCGATATTTTCCATGTAACACACAATAAATTTTTAGACTGCTATAAATATAAACTCTTGGTCTAGACTAGAGTGTTACCACGACCTGGGTAACTGTGGTGGTGTCACCTCCAGCAGTCTACTTTACGGCGAGGTTTACCCTTCAGGGCGACCTCATGACCCATTCACACCTGAACAGAACCATTTGACCAGGAACACACTGCCTTGGCTGGGAATCAAACCTGGTCTCTTGAGGTTCAGTGTCAGTGTTTACCTATTCAATCGAGACGTCAACAATGCTATTTTTTATCTTAAGCTTCTACATGTACTGTTCATTATCTTAATTTTGTTTAGTGATATTTGTCTTGCAAGTAGAGAAAATTGAGATCCCCGCACCTCCATGAGGCAATCTGAATTTGGTCACAACAGATATCTCAAGGTTAATGTAATTTTGTGGTGCGGTGACCACATCTGGCGGAGGAGGATACTGTGTGGTAGTGTTGACCTTGACTACCCTGTAGTTTCCTGCCTCCTGGTGGTGGTCACGCCTGGGCGCCTCTCCACAGTGTAAACGACCAACAGTTATGCGTCTTTATCGCTCCAGGAATACGCCCTAGTGATCATACTGGAAATAAAATTAACTGAAATTGCAGGTTCGAAGCTACTTTGTGTATAATTGTACGAGTTACTCGGAAAATTAGGAAAAGAAAATGATTTTTGCTTGAACTGCCTTGTGTGAAAGTGAGTTACACGAAGTTTGGTGGTGATGTTTGCATATACATTATTGTACTTACCACTCTATGACCATATAAAAATTATATACAGTATATATATATATATATATATATATATATATATATATATATATATATATATATATATATATATATATATATATATATATATATATATATATATATATATATATATATATATATATAAGTTCTTGATTTGATAAGTGGCAGGGCTGAAGTAAACACTTTGTTGGTTTTGCTTTATTGTAGAAAAATATAGTTTCACAGGTACTGAGTTCAGTTGAGAGTATATTGTACCTTCTCTGCTCAGGGAAATGTCTTAGTGCACTTGTGTAGGAGAGCACTTAAGTGAGTTGTTCACTGGGTAACAGGTGATATGATAGTCTCTCTCACACCAAGGAGAGGGTGGTCAGGCAGGTCTTAAAAGGAAACGCGTCAGATGTTTGTTGCTGAGCTGTGCTGACCAAGCTTGACCTCGCCCACTCCCCAGAGGAAATGTCAACCCACCAATTGATTCATACTCATGGATGAATGACTTGGTGATTATATGGGTAATATACGTTTGGGTAAATATTTATATAATACAAATTGTGCTGTTACATACTGTGGGTTGTGAATAGGCGTTTACTTGGACTGTGGGAGCAGTGTGGTTATATGATGATGCAGCAGTGCAAGGAGAGTACTGTTAATTATAACCATCGACGAAGAATGATGACCATTCATCTCAGTGCGTTGCTAGAGTGTGATGGCCAAGTAGATACAGAGTTTGCTCCCTGTTCGAAGGGTTGAAACCCCTCCCCAAGTTTTCCTACTGATGATGTTATAATGAGACTAAGATTGGGATACAAATATTA